CGTCGGGGCCCCTGCTGCCAAGGGAGACCAGCCTCGGTCTAGAGCCCAACAAGCCTAGCCTGAGCGTCTGTCCCAGGCCTCATGGGACCTTGTTCAGGCCGAGTGTTGGGGAGCATCTTTCAGTCTCAGTCCCTTTGTCCAGAACTCACTTTCTCATCTGCACACCTGTCCCCGTCCCCAGCAGGGAAAGCAGGGGTGGAGGAGGAATTAGCATGGACATAAGGACTGAGGACCTGGGGTCACAGCAGTGAGTCTCCCCCCGGCCTAGGACACTGTCCAGAACATGCTGTCCTTCCTTGTGTCACCAGGAAGAAAGTAGGCTGGGGTAAGAGTCCCCCAAGAGCCATAAGGATAACAGAAAGAAAGTTTCTTAAAATGCCTTAGGGGTACATGGTCCTTTACAGCCTCCCGCTCCTGTCAGGGACACCGCCTCCGGCTGAGGTCCCAGCCCTCCTGTCCCACCCCACCGTGGCCAGACAGAGGTGCCCTTTCCTTGGGGCTCCCCCTGGATGAGCAGAGGCTACCAGCAGCTGGAGCAAAGGGGAAACCTCAAAGTGACCTTTTCTTTCCCAGAACACAGTGACCGGCTAGGTAGAGACCAGCGATAAGGACACCAAGGTGGGTTGGCCAAGCTGGGGCTGCTCCCGTGCCTGGCACAGGTGCATCAGAGGACCCCACCCCTGACATACGCACACCCAGGAAGGGCTGGGGCCACTCTGTCAGGATCACAGTGACAGGTGTCCAGACCTGACCGCAACCCACGCAGGGACTCCCAGACGTTCCTGGAAATACTCTCTGCTTTCCCTCTGGCCCGACCTGGGAACACCTGGAGGGCTAAGGGCAGACAGGGAAAGGAAGGCCAAGAAAGTCAAGGGAACTGCAGAGCGGGAAAGAGAACCTCGGGTGACAACAGCAACAACTGTGGCTGGGATCGACTGCAAGCTTCCAAGGCCAGGCGCAGGCCCCGTCCTTCCAAGCTGACAGGCACCTAACGCTCTGGGGGTGTTCACGGCCTTGGTCCCTCGGGCTTTCTCTCTCAGGAGTTCAATGTGGGGGCGACCCACTAAGTCCTCCAGCCCAGCCCCTCAGCCTGGCAAGACCCCGGCTCGCCTGGCCTCACTGCCCTCCCAGAGCTGAAGCACCATCCGGGCACCTTCACCCATCTCCCCGCTGCTCCTCCTGTGGCCGCCTCCAGCTCCTTGGCCCTCCTTCCTGCACAGGGGGCAGGCAGGGCCAGTGTCATGTTCCTCGCTGTGGTCACATGGCACCTGCTCTACTCCTGATCCTGATCTGGCAGGGGTGGGAGGCGGCAGGGCCCTGCACACTCAGGGCCCTTGCTGACATCACCCGGCAGGGCTGTTTAACTAGGGATCGAATGGTTGCGCTCCCCCTACTTCGCTCCCTCCTCGCTCCTTCTTCCACCTTCCCACGCCCCTACCCAGCACTGTGAGGAGCAGCCCTGGAGGTCCCTGGGACCCTGCAGCCTCTGAGCTCTCAGAGAGCCCAAAGCCCATCTGTAGGGGACAGGCCCTCCCCACCTCCCGTCCCCTCTCCGCCACTGTCCCAGGGCCTGAAACACTGGCTGGGATGGAGCGGCTTTCCCTGCTGCGCCCCACCCCACCTCGAGCCCTCTTCCTGGAATTAGGAAGTGCAGTGAGGGCGGTGAGAGCTGGGGGAGCTCCTGAACCTACGGGTTTGTGACTCTGTCTTGGGTAACCCGAAGCCAGGGTAGGAGGCAGACCCCACTACAAGGTCCCCAGGAGAAGATTCGAAGCCAGGTAGGGTGCTGCATCCCTGTTCTCCCAGCACTCTGGGAGGCTGAGGCAGGAAAATCCCAAGGTGACCCCAAGCTGGGCTACTTAGCAACACCCTGCCTCTCAGTGAAAAGCACTGGGGATACAGCTCAGTTCAAAACCCTGGCTTCAATCCCCAGTGCCAAAAGAAGGGAGAATCAGAACCCAGAAATCCCATCTCATGGGCTAGGTGGCAAGGTCACCAGAATGGTCTGAAAGGAAATTCTGGATGCTGCTCGGGAGACAACCCTGGGAAGCACAGGTCAGTGCTGTCCCCAGAGTCCAGAGCCCCTGCCCACAGGACCACTTTTGGGGGCATTGAGGCCTGGTTCAGACCCTCCCACCTCTCTCTCTGAGACTCAGGTTCTTCAGCCACAGAAAGAGGATTGGGCTTGTGTGGTCCTCAAATTCCCTTCCAGACACAACTCCCTTACTCCAGCTGGCTGCTGGGTCCTCTCTGTACGTGTGGCACAAACCAGAGGACTGTGAAAGTTCCCAGAGCCTTTTCTGGTTCACCCGGCCTAGGGATGGAATGGGCAGGCAGTGCGGGAAAAGGGTAGCTGTCTTGTCACAGTAGAGTGAGGGAGCCTTTCCCTTGCCGGCCCGTGTCACTGGGGACTCCCTAGTATCTGGTTCCCAGCTGTAGGGAAGCTGCCCAGAAGGGCAGGGACAGTCCTGAGTCACCCAGCTGTTCATGCTCTGAAGCAATTCCACCACCCACACCCCTTTCCGCCTTTCCTCCGTAGAAGGACAGCCAGGAATGCCCGGGGTACGAGCTGGACAGGAAGCTGTGAAGGAGGTCCCCGGAGAAAGACAGCTCCGTCTGGGCTAGGAGATCAGGAAAGGGCTCAGGTAGAAAGGAGGAAGGGGAGAGGGAGAATTTAAGCAAGTCTTGAGGATGGGCAGGTGTAGAAAGGCAGAACGTGTCAAGACGCCACAGTAAGAAGGAAAGAATGGAGCAGACACCCGAGCTTGCTGGGCGCTGAGCAGACCCAGCCAACAAATCTCCTGACTCCACCGAAACAGGACAGAGGATGCAAAATCAAAAGTGGCAAAATAGGATGTGGGGCTTGACTGATCTTCCCAGAAATAAGTAAGAGGGAGGGAGGAAGGAAGAAAGGAGGGAAGGGAGGAGGACATCGGGAGCAGGGAAAGGAAAGCGCAGTAAGGTTTGGTGACGACTGAACGTGGAGGCTGAGGGAGAGGAAAAAGGCAGGGACGTGTGGCAACTAGTGACAGGAGGTTCTGTCACACTATGGGGGAAATAGGGAAGCTGGTGGTGGAGTTAGGGTAGCAGGGCTCGGCAGGATCACATGTTAACAGCACTCCCCAGTGCACTGCTAAGACGTCAGGCTTTTGGAAGCATCCCTGGAAGGAGATTCAGGGTCCCCGCCCACTGGGGGCCACGGATGTGAGAGCTCCTGTGAGCACCCCCTTTTCCAGAGCACTGTTCTCTGATTCAGCCTGCCTAAGAAGCTGGGTTACTTCACAAGAAGTCTGCTCAGTGGCTGGGATGCATTCCCCAAACCACAAGTCTCTCTAAAGCCCAGGTATAGAGCTTTGGACTCCTCCCCAAAGACCCTGCCAAGAAATCCACCTGGGACGCCAGATCCTGGCAGGCCAGAGGGGGGCAGCCAGGGAGAGCGAGGCCACCCTGCCTCTGAGAAGGTGAAGCCGGAAGCAGGAGGAAGCACCTCCCAACTTAATAATAGTAATCACTGCCGTTACCATCCTCTGAGTGGCCAGGAAAGGCTGGGCTTCACACTCACGATCTCCTCAAACCTTCGTGGCAGCTGCCTGTGACTGTTATTATCCTCATTTACAATGAAGAAACTGAATCTTTGAACTCAGGTCCCCATGGCTTCCAAACTTGTGCTGTTTTTCTGATGCTGCTCTGCATTTCTCCCACCGCAAGGCCTCGCTCACTTCTGCCCACCTCCTCTAAAACGCCATGCTGAGCCCCTCAACAAGCATCGCTGAGTACTAACTGAGGGCCAGGCAAGTGGCTGGGCATGGAGGTCCACCCCCATCTCACCTCGAACTGGGTGCCGTGCTTGAGCTTTTGCCAAAATCTCTCCCGTACACGGTTCCAGTGGACAGCAGTCCTGAGACCAAACAGATGGAATCTATCGGCCCCGCGTCACCAGCCACAGGAACTCACACGCACACACCCTCTACACTGGATCCCACCTTAATGCCCCTGGCATCTGATCCTCTCCACGGTCCTCTGAATTGGGAGGCTGCCCTCCTTTTTCTGATGAGGAATTGGGGTTGGAGGGGTGGTGTCACCCATTCAACGTCTCCGGCAGAGCCAGGACTAGGCACAGGTCGGGGATCCTTAGAGAACCCCTCTCTTCCCAGGGTCCTCGTCCATAAACTGCACCCAGAGGCCACTCCCCCGTTCTTCCAACATCGACCTCTCAGCTTCTCCTGGCCCTGGAGGGCGGGGGACAGGAAAAGGGATGCAGAGATGGTGCAGGGAAGGGGCCTCCAGGACCCCGGCCCCCAGCTCTGCCCAGCTCAGCTCCTGGACCATCAGTGAGGTTGTGCAAACAGCAAGGAGGAGAGAGACACCACTACACGAGGGTGGGGGAAAGCTTAGGTGCCGGAAGCTGTGGGAGGGACAGCTGGCAGTGGACCGTCCTGACTTCCCCAAACACGCCACTGTCCCTCCCAGGGAAACCTGTCGGTGAAGTCGGAGGCACCCTGTTCGGGAAGGGTCCCCTGAGGTCACCGCCGCCATCCCTCTGCCTCCAGGAAGGCTGTTTGCTCTTTTTGTTCCAAGCCGACTGGCTGAGTGAGGGGAGCCTTTCTGCCAGGGGAACTGAGGTCCAGGGAGAGACAGTGGTTTGCGTGGGCCCAGGGAGGAGCAGGCTCAGTGCACTGCATCCACCTGTGACCTCTGCCCCAGTACTCCCACCTCCTCTTCACCTGCTGCTTGGCGGGGGCGAGAGTGATGTCACAGATGTGCAGGGCCAGCCACATGCCGGCGCCAAGTAAAACAGCCACAGTGAGGGTGTGTGTCACCAGTGCCGCCGAAAGAAGCGACTTGGTGGAGGGCAGGGTGGCACCGTGCTGCACAGGGCGGGGAAGGCCTGCATAAAACTGCTGCAGGAGGAGCAGAGGAAGAAGGCCCTGGCTGTGCTGCAGAGGGTGCCCTTCACCTTCCCTCTCTCTGCTCCTCCCAAGCTCGAACGCGCTCCAGACATGAGCCAGCCCAGGCCCCGCTACGTGGTGGACAGGGCCGCGTACTCTCTCACCCTCTTGGATGAGGAGTTTGAGAAGAAGGATCGGACGTTCCCAGTGGGAGAGAAGCTCCGCCATGCCTTCAGGTAACGTGGCCCAGGGCCCAGCCTCCTCTTTCCTCTGCTCCTCACGGAGGGGCTTCAGGAAACCCTCAGCTTCTGTGCCTACGAGCTCATCTTCCCTGAGCGCCCCAGGGAGGATGGAGAGGAGAAACGAGAAGCATCTACAGTCTCAGAAGGATACAGGGCAGCCCACACCCCCAGACTCTGTCCACCCAGGTCCCTCCTGGGTCCTCACAGGAGCTCCAGGTGCACAAGCTGTAGAATGGAGGGTAGGGGTACCCCGTGCCTTTCCTCCTCTTCCAGCCTAGATAGCCCTTCTTCTGCTGATCCAGAGAATTCCTACAGGAGGCTCTAAACTCCTGGGCTCCCCTAAAGGTGAGCCACCTACCTGAAGGCCCTGCCACCTCCAGGTTCTTCCTGCCCTGGGGTCCCCTGCATGTCGGTGGGCTGTGTCTCCCTGCTTCAAAGCAGAGGGCCACACAAGGAGATTGAGACCCATACCCCGAGGCCCAGGGCCACGCGCTTCGCCCTCCCCCTTCCAAGTAGGGGCCCTCGTCCAGGCCTAGCTGTGGGCTGGCCAGTACATGCTCACTCCCCTGGGCTAAGAGCTGATTCAGTTACCTGGATTGAGGTCGATGGCAGTGGTTGAAGTGGAGATGCAGGTGCAACTGGTTCAGTCCTGGGGAATCACCCACTTGAGTTTTACTAAAAGCCCCGGCCCAACCCTGCTTCTCTTGGGAGGCTCCATCTCTGCCCGGTTACAGCCAAGGCCTTGGGTGCCCCAGTTCTGGGCACCAATACCCACAGCCGTGCTCCTCAGATAGGTGGGCTCGGTCAGTCTTTGTGCCCACAGAGTTCTGTGCTGGAGCAATGGGAGGTCTGCTGTGGTCCTGAAAGATGAGGACGATGTGAACCACAAAGGGAGGCGGGAAGCCAACAATTCCCGGGATGCGGACAGGAGACCGTGAATAGGCCTGACACACAGAAGGCGTCTGGTGAATACCTGTCAATCAATGAGTGCCTGGAACGCTGACCCCCCACCAGGGCACCTCTGAGGCCTCTGTGTAGCTGTTCAGCAGCTGCTGCTACCTCTTCTGTCAGACTTTACAATGATTACCCCGCGTACAGCAGAGTTGCAAGTAAGGCTGGGCAGCTACTAACGCTCTTATGAGCAGTCATGCTTTCCCCAGCCAGCTGTCTACTCTTGAATCCGGTCTTCTCTGCCACACACAGCACCACCTAACAGAGCTCCTGCAGGACTGCTTCTCTCCCAGGACAAGGCACCAAGGAGGCATTAAGCGACTCACCAAGTTCATCTCTCCCTGGGAGGGGCACTTGCAAGTACCAGAGGGGACTGGGCAGCCAGTGATTCCATTCCATAGGATGTTTGTTGGGACAGAAAAATCTCCCTAGACTTTCCAGGACACAGAGTGTTATCTGTGTTGGTTTCGGTCTTGGGTGGCATCCAAGGGACCCAGTGTCGGGAAAACTATTGTTGAGCAAGAGCAAGGAGCAGGAGTTGGTGCCGGACAGGAAAGGAAGCCTAATCAGACCAGGCTAGTGAGTCACCAGATGGCCCTGAGTATTTGAGTTCCTTCAACTGGGAGAAAGAAACTCAAAGGCCCCCACCTGCTTCCAGTCATCAATCCAGCGGCTGTCACCCTTGTTCCGACCGCTCTGGAGTTTCCGTGAAAGGACCTCAAGGCGTTCAACAAACAGGGAAAGGATCAACTCTCCTACTCTGCAGTGACCAAGGAACAGTCTCCCATTCTTCCCTCCTCCACAGTGTATTCACCAGCAAAGAACTCCAGCATGGGAGCCATCACACAACACAAGGACAGGGAGTCAGCCGAGCCTCACCCTGTGGGGACAACAGAGCCTTCCTTTTGGGGAAAGTTCAAGGGAAACGGACAGCAGGCAGCCCTGGCTCAAACTGACTTTCAATACCAGCTAATCCACTCACTTCTTCATTCTTTGAATCCACAAATATTCACTAAGCAGCCTCTGTAACAGACTGTGGGTTTGCTGTCAAGAGACAGACAAAGACAAGTTGCAACACAGGGTGCAGGTGGAGCTGCAGGAACCCGGGCCAGGGTGCTCCAGCCCGCCTTTGCACAAGCCAGCCAGAGAAGCCTTTCCTGGAGAGAGGCCTTGAGAGCCAGGGTGGACCAGATGCCTCAAAGGCTAAGCCACTGTACAGGCCACTCCTTGAAGCCAAGCCTGTGGGCTTCCTAGACTGCCGCAAGGAGACCTCCAGCTGATGCCCAGAGAGTGCTTCAGAGCTCTCCTGAGAAAGCTCCTGGGGCTCCCCTTGGGGGCCCTGGCAGGCAGCACAGTGAGGGTGCCCGGAATCCTGCCCGGGATCCAAGTGGGTTGTGAATGCATGCACGGACAGGCTATTACCAGCCCGCTCCAACCTGCCCTTTTCCCTGCAGGTGCTCCCCAGCTAAGATCAAAACTGTGGTGTTCGGGCTGCTGCCTGTGCTCTCCTGGCTCCCCAAGTATAAGATCAAAGAGTACCTTCTCCCTGACCTGCTCGGCGGACTGAGTGGGGGATGCATCCAGGTGCCACAAGGTGAGAAGCCCCTCGGTCAGGCCTGGCCACCACTCCCTCCTAGGAGTCTTCTCCCTGCCCGACCTCATCCCCCTGCAGCCCCCTGAGCCTTGTGAGCCTTCTGAGCCTCCACTCTTCATCACCCGCAGGCATGGCATTTGCCCTGCTGGCCAACCTCCCCGCGGTCAACGGCCTCTACTCCTCTTTCTTCCCCCTCCTGACCTACTTCTTCCTCGGGGGTGTGCACCAGATGGTGCCAGGTAAGGCCTCTCCGCTTTCCAGGCAGGAGGGTGGGTCGTGAAGGAGGCTCAGGTTCCACCTGCCTTCTCCCGGAGGTGGGGTGGGTCGGTCCTGAACAGATGATCACTGAGTTGGCCCCGGGTCCTCAGTGACCCTGCAGAAAGCACTGAGCCTCTGTGAGGTCAGTCAGTGTGACCTGCTCTAGCTCCTTCCCTGGAAAGGAGGACTTGGCTGAACAAATGCACCACACACTACTCAGGCAGGAAACCTGAAAGAGAAATGCAGGAAACCACCATGGAATGCCCAGACTGGTCCCAGCAGGCCACTGCAGGGACATTTGGAGTGCTCTGGTGCCGAGTGAAATGGAGAGAAAGGACCTGGTCACCAGGGCTGCTTCCTGGTGCAGGCTTCGCTTGTCCTCCTGGACTCCTGAGTCCAGTGAGAGCAAACTGATGGAGGGGCGAGTGCAGGAGACTGTGGCTAGGTGTGACAGACCTGTGCATCATGGAGAGGGGTGGTACAGATAAGGGACCCCATCCCTGGCGGTTGGGACGTGTCCACGGGCCTTCTGCTGCTTCCACGGACATGCTCCAAACCTCTGATTTCTGTTGGTTGTGTGGGACACCGCAGGTACCTTTGCCGTTATCAGCATCCTGGTGGGTAACATCTGTCTGCAGTTGGCCCCAGAGTCGAAATTCCGGGTCTTCAACAATGCCACCAATGAGAGCTACGTGGACACTGCAGCCATGGAGACAGAGAGGCTGCATGTGTCGGCGACACTCGCCTGCCTGACTGCCATCATCCAGGTAAGGGGGCCGCCCCAGGCTTACCAAAACCCTGCTGCACAAGGGCACCAGAAAACCCTGCCTCAAAGCCCCTGGACGCGTTGTCGGCTCTGACGCAGGGCTCTACCTCTCCCCAACCCCGGGGCCACAAAGGACTTTAACATTTCAGAGTAGTTTCTCACCTGCGTCTAGCAGGTCCGTACTTCAGTCCAGCAGTGGTGATGAAATTGCCCTGAATTTTAAAACTGCCTAGCAAGGCCCACAGCCTCTCTCCACTGCCCTGGCTCTCCTCAGCCCCCAGCCACGCGGCAGGTGCACAGCACAACCTGAGCTGCTACCAAGGAGACTAAAGGACTCCTAAGTTTTAAGAAGGGGAGCACAGCATGAGAGAATGTGAGGGTGAGATGCAGCCTCAGGGACACAACACCTTTCATTCATTCATTCAGTTAGTGGTTTTTCTTGTTTTGTTTTGTTGTTGCTTCTCTGTGCCAGGAACTGGGCTGAGCCCTGAGGATACAAAGATAAGTCAGAAAGCAGCCTAGTTCACAGGTTGCTCCTAGCCGGGAGAGGAAGTAGCCATGTCAACAGATAAACTTCTGTGTAGAGCCAGGTAGCACGATGGAGCCGTGAACAAAGGGAACGCAGAAGAGAGGGCCAGGAAGACCTCAAAGAGGAGGTGATGCTGGACCTTGAAAGGATGAGTAGAATTTAACCAGTACCGAATGCATGGGTGCTGCACGGAGACCTAACAGAGGAGTGTGACCAGCAAGGAGTCCAGTGAGGCTGCAGGACACAGGGCCAGAAAGAGGCCAGAAACCGAGGCAGGAACCAGACAGCAAAGTTCGGGCTGTGTAACCAGCAGCGTGCAAGGACCATCGGGGCTGCAGAGAAGGTGGCTGGAGGTGGATTAGAACCAATATGGGGACCTGCGGGGCCTCTACAGCGACCCAGGTGGGAGGGACGAGGGCCTGGACCAGGGCAGTGGCTGTGGAGAAGAAGATACTGGGGCCCCTTTTCCAGGAGCGTTACAGAGCACGTGATGGACCGGATAGGAGAGGTGAAAGCAGATGACTCCCACGTCTTCGGTTAGACAGCCAGGTGTGTGGAGGTGCCGCTGACCAAGACGGGAAGCGGCAAGGGAGAACCAGGCTTGTTTCACAACTAAGGAGACCTGAGCCAGAGAGGAGAAGTGACCGGGGCCCCCCAAAGAACTGAGGGCCTGGCAACGGGCACGTAGGGCACAGGGAAGGGGCAGGAGAGGGTCACAAGGGCTCATTTCCCCAGAGCCACTGCTGTCCCGTGCTGCATGGGGCTCCAGGCAGAGCAGATGACGCCTCCTGACCCTGCCACCACCCCTTTCTCCCTCCCAGATGGGCCTGGGCTTCATGCAGTTCGGCTTCGTGGCCATCTACCTCTCTGAGTCCTTTGTCCGGGGCTTTATGACGGCTGCCGGCCTGCAGATTCTGATCTCGGTGCTCAAGTACATCTTCGGGCTGACCATCCCCTCCTACTCGGGCCCGGGGTCCATCGTCCTCGTGAGTCTGGGGCGCCCCTGCAACGGAGGCAGGCACTGAGCACCCTAGGAGCGGCTAACTGAAGAGCCTGCTTGCTGCTCATCCTAGCTGAGCCGCTGCTCCCAGAGGATTCCAAGGGGTCCCCACCTTGGGAGGGGGTCAAATACATGCTTCCCATACTTGCTGAGACCCCTGTTATCACTTCAGAAAAGCAGAGGTTTCCTGCACGGTTTCCTATTCCAGTGCCTCGACCCCTCCCTGCGTGGGAAGTCCTTCCTTAAGTCTGACCTCCGTCCTTCCACTTGGAAGCAGCCTGAGCTCAGCTCCTGAGGGGCCCTTTGGGAGAGGGTGGTGGCAGCCGAGATGGTGTCCGCGGCCTTCATGTGCCTCTGGCGTGAGCACTGACGGTGTCTCCTCCCCTGGCTCAGGCACCCAAGGGTGGGGCTGTGTGGGAAGAAGGGCCAGATCCGTGAGTGTGGCGCTCTCTCCACAGACGTTCATTGACATCTGCAAAAACCTTCCCCACACCAACATCGCCTCGCTCGTCTTCGCCCTCATCAGCGGCATCTTCCTGGTGCTGGTGAAGGAGCTCAACGCTCGCTACATGCACAAGATCCGCATCCCCATCCCCACAGAGGTGGTAGTGGTAAGGACCTCCCCAGAGCCGCGACGTGGGCTGTGAGAACAGGACCTGCTCCAGAAAGGGCCAGGGACGCCCCGCCCACCACCCCTTGGCCACTGGGACAGGAAGTCACATTCCGGGGGTCTTCCTCTCTTCCGGTTCTTCATATAGTCCTCCCAAAGCTGCCCCAAGGCGGCAGAAGAGTAGAATTTGGGGCCCACGTAGAAAACAGAGACTTGGGAGAGACCCCTTGAACTCAGCTTAGGGCCCAGCCCCATTCGGCACCTTGGGCATTGCAGGTTGTGGTGGCGACAGCTATCTCCGGGAGCTGTAAGATGCCCCAGAAGTATCACATGCAGATCGTGGGACAGATCCAACGTGGGTGAGTCCAGGGGGCCGAGCAGTCTGCCCCCCACCAAGGCCCGGGCTCAGATGAAGGTCAGCAGAGGCCAGGCATGGAGGCACAACCCCTGAAATCCCAGCCACCTGACCAGAAGTTTGAGTCCAGCCTGGGCAACTTAGTGACTTAGTGAGACTATGTCTCGAAATTTAAAAAAAAAAAATTAAAAGGGCCGGGGATGTGTCTCAATGTGAAGGCCCTGGGTTCAGTCCTCAGCACTGAAAACACAAACAGGATGTAGCTCAGTCCTTCCTGGGTTCGATCCCCAGAACAAAGACAGGAAGAAAGGGACGGAGGAAGGGGGTTAGAAAGTGTATGACATGTGTGAATTACTTCTGCTGCCTATTACCAAGAAGAGCCACGCAGCCGGCCATGCTGGTCAAGACAAGTCTATCCTCCCGCTCTGCTCCCCAGTAAGTGTCCACGCAATCAATGCCCTCAGCCCTCTCTGATGGGCCTCTTGCTGGCTCTGTGCCATGCTGTAATGCACTGGCTCCTCTGAGCCATGCAGAAAGCTATGAGGATCAGCCAAACTGTGCCAGGCAACATGCTGGGTCCCCAGAGAACGGCGACAAAGTCTGTCCTGCAGAGAGGAGCAGTCAAAGGAGGGGAAGACTGGAGTCAGACTCCAGACAGAATCCGGGCACAGAATGAGGCCCTGACAGGCTGCGCAGGTTAGGTTCTCTAAGCCTGGGTGCTACAGGATCGATGGCACCTGCCCGCAGGGGCAGCACCATTGGAGACTGGCGAGATCAGGGGTACCAAGGCCTGGCACACCGTGGGTCCTGAGGTGATGAAGGATTCGGCAGCCTCTGTCTCCTCACACCCCTGGGCCTGCCTCCTCTCTGGTTCCTCGGCAGGTTTCCCACTCCGGTGTCGCCTGTAGTTTCACAGTGGAAGGACATGATTGGCACAGCCTTCTCCCTGGCCATCGTGGGCTACGTCATCAACCTGGCTATGGGGCGGACCCTGGCTGGCAAGCACGGCTATGATGTGGATTCCAACCAGGTAGCTTGGCCACCTTCTTCTTACTGGCGGTGGGTGGCTTTATAGCACGGGATCGCTCTCCAGCTCTCAAGTCCCAGGCCCAAGATCTAGCCTGCACGGCTGACAACATTCGGTCCCTGCTCCCCTACCATCCCGGCCCCTCTCCCTATAGGAGATGATCGCCCTTGGCTGCAGCAACTTCTTCGGCTCCTTCTTTAAAATCCACGTCATCTGCTGTGCGCTCTCTGTCACTCTGGCTGTGGACGCAGCTGGAGGGAGATCCCAGGTGAGCTGCCTGCCAGGAGAGTGTTGTAGGGGCTCTGATAACTGTCGGGAGAAGCCAGGCTCTGCAGTCCAGGCAGCTCTTCCTGGCCTTCCACCTCCTGCCTCACCTCCACCCCACCAAAGGGTGCCTATGGGGAACCAGCAACAGCTAGACTCCCCCTGCTCCCAACTCTCTCTAAACAGGTGGCAAGCTTGTGCGTGTCTATGGTGGTGATGATTACCATGCTGGTCCTGGGGTCCTATCTATACCCTCTCCCCAAGGTAAGAGCCCCGCCGGAGAGCAGAAGACAATGGGAGACTCCAGTAGCAGCCCCGCCTAGGAGTTGGGAGGGGGATGCCCCCGGGACACCAAGCAATGCTCTGCTCCTGCAGGCTGTGCTGGGAGCCCTGATAGCTGTCAACCTCAAGAATTCCCTCAAGCAGCTCACCGACCCCTACTACCTGTGGAAGAAGAGCAAGCTGGACTGTGTAGGTACTGGGCAGCCTCTGGGCAACCATGTGTGCTCCTGCAACTCCTCCGAACTCACATGCTGACCTAAGGCTGAGCCTTCTGTTCTGCTGCTCTTGTTAGCATGGTCTAGAGGTTAGGAGTTCAGGATTTGCAAGAGACATCCTGGGCTCAAATCCTAACCCTGTCATTCACTGGCTCTCTGGCCAAATAGCAAGTTCCCTAACCTCCCTGTGGGAGGGACATCTTATCTACCCCGAGGGTGGCTTTGAAATGAGGCAATATTGATTTGCATTTGTGCTCAGTAAAACTTTCCTATTATTGTTTTCATGGTTTCTAGTTCCAGAAAAAGCAAATGGAAATCATTTTGTAAGAAAGTCTAACAGAGAAAGCCAAAGGACCCAGGGTCTTGAGTAAGTTCCTAGACGGCTCTCAGGTCCCCTTGCTGCAGCTGTAGCTGGGGGTTGGAGTTGTGGCTGTGTTGTACCCTTGTTCAGATGATTAGGTGAGGTCACAGTGAGACAGCGCCATGCAACTGTAAACATCTGCAAGCAGGGCTTGGTGTGCGGTTAGTCACACACCCCAAGCGCAACTCCCTGCACGCTGGCAGTACATGCATTATCTCCACTTAACCCCCCACCATAACAGACAGCATCTATGACCTCCTTTCAGGATGACAAAATCAAAGCTGGCCTGGTAAAGTGAACTGTCCGAGGCCACACGGGAAGCAGTGGATAGGAACTCCAGGTCTCAGACTCCAGCCCTCTGGGCTGTCCTGTCTCCTAGGAGAGGAGGGCTCAACGCTTGTGGTACAGGGAAGGAAACCTTCCAAGCCAGAGACCTGAGTGGCCCATCTCCCAGACAGGGGTAGGAAGAGACATGAAGTCCCATTCCCAGCTGAGGACTTGCATTTCCCACTCCCAGCCGTCTCCTTGCCACGGCAGCCTCCCCTTACACTTCTCTACATGAATCTGGGCAGCTGATTTCCCTTATAAGAACTTGGGGGTTACTAAAGGCCTATGGGGACAACCCACGCAATCAGGCCCCCAGCCCCAGCCGCTTGCTGCTAGAAAGGGAGCTCACAGTCACGGGTCACCACGGGGTGCCCATCACAAGGCTTGAACCCCTGCCTTCCCCAGCTCCTTAATCCTAGGGAGCCATGGCTCCCACGGCAAGTAAGAGGACCCAGCGCTGAACCCTGGTGTATCTGATTCAAGGTGCACACGCCACGCTGCCTCCTGTGCACGCTGGTGTTTCCGTTTCTAAAGACAGAGGAGGGGCCGAGGGCGTGGAGCACTTGCCTAGCATGTGTGAAGCCCTGGGTTCCATTCCAGCCCCAGCAAGGAAAAAGAGAGAGAAAGAAGGAGGAAGGGGGAGGGGAGGAAGGAAAGCAAGAAAGGGAGCGAGAAGAAGAAAGAAGGGTGGGGGAGAAAGGCAGAGATCAGGCAGCCGCACTCAACCTAAGGGAATCAGGCAGTGTAACCAAACCACAACACATAAATCATTGCAAAAATGCACTGAAAGGAGAGGACGGGTCTGAGAACGCACTAGCAGAGTGGCCTTGTTTATCCCGGAAGACTTCCTGGAAGAGGCAGTTTTTCTCCCCAAGCCTGCTCTTGACGTCTCTCTCCTCGCAGTGTGTCTGGGTGGTGAGCTTCCTCTCCTCCTTCTTCCTGAGCCTGCCCTACGGCGTGGCCGTGGGTGTCGCCTTCTCCATCCTGGTTGTGGTCTTCCAGACCCAGTTGTAAGTAACAGGTTCCTCCCTCCCAAGCACAGCACTGGGGTCACTAGGCCAGCCTGCCGAGGGTTCCCATGCCAAGGCTTGGCTTAGGCCACTGTGCCCTCTACCTTATGGGCCCAGCCCTGAAGGCGCTGCCAGGCCTGGGAGAATCCGATCCAGAGAGGATGGGCTGGACTGACTTCCTGTTTCGCAAGCCACAGAGGAGGCCAGCACAGACTTGAAGGGCAGGGATGCCGAGAGAGTAGAGGAAGAGCTGATGGGTGAGGCCTAGCACCCTTCCAGAGCCCAGCGAGACCACCCTAGGACAGCACCAGGGCAGAGGGCAGAGGCACTACTCTTCCTAAAAAGGTGTCAGTAGTAAAAGCCAAGCTCACCAGCAAGAGGGGCCGGACCGGCAGGGAGGACACTGAGGCCAGAAGACTCCTTTTCTCCTCTTCCTGAGAACTTAGAACTAGGAAGCGGTGACTTCAGGGCCACTTAAGTTTGTTACCTGTGTACTGCACCTTCCTTGAGCAGTCAGGGAGTGACACCAAGGCCCTGGCTGTCATCCCCTGGTTGCAGTCTAACTGCAGGCCAGTGCAGAGAGGCAAACACAAGCCCAGGGAGCAGGCCCTTTCCAGGCCCATCCGATGTCTCCATTCTCACATTTTTTATTTCCTCTTCATGTAGCCGAAACGGCTATGCTCTGGCCCAGGTCTTGGACACTGACATCTATGTGAACCCCAAGGCGTACAGCAGGGTAGGTAACCCAGGCTTTGGCCACCTCCTTTTGCACTGCTCCCACCCAAAGGAGAAGTGTTTTTTAAATAAAAACAACAAACATATTTCTGCAACCTGAGCTCTGTGTCACAGGTCCAGGAAATTGAGGGGATTAAGATCGTCACTTACTGCTCCCCTCTCTACTTCGCCAACTCAGAGATCTTCAGACAAAAGGTCATTGCCAAGGTAAGGCTTTGGTGACCAGAAAGGCTCAAGAGAGAGTGGCCAGAAGATGGAAGCAAAGAGGGGTTTGGAGCTAAGAGCAGGCCACACCCCAGAAGGGTAGAGGTCAAAACTGCTGTTGGTTCTCTGCCCCCCAGACTGGTATGGACCCCCAGAAGGTATTACTTGCCAAGCAAAAATACCTCCGGAGGCAGGAGAAGAGGACAGTACCGACACAGCAGAGGAAATCTCGCTTCATGAAAACCAAGGTGAACAGAGGCCCCCTTTCTGATCTTGCTCCTTGCACCCCACCTTCAGTACCCTGCGTGGAAAAGACAGGAAGTCTCCGAGTGCTGCCCCTGGGGTAGCCCGGTCAATCTTCTTCTTGGGTGAGGGGCTGTCAGCTCCTGGGGAACCACCGCACTCCCACGGTAGGGCTAAGGTAGGCCATAGCCCAGGGGCCTGTTAGCAAGCCCGGATGGAGCACAGCAGTGAACTTCCAGGTGTCCTGCTGGGGTGGAAGTAGGAGGTAGGGAGCAGCATTCAGACATGGATAAATACAAAAGGGAACTCAGCGGGCTCCAAGGGAACTTTCTCCCACAGCACAGTGGGCCAAGACTTTGGGGCCGTGTGGAAAGGGCCTCTGATGTCTGGGATATGGGAGGCCAAGCTCATAGGCCCTGCCACAGGAAGGGAGTTTGGGGGTCTCTCCTGCCAAGTTTTCAGGGACTGTGTTCACACATCCACACACAGTCACCCACCTCAGCCTGACCCCTCCCACTGTGGCTTCAGCCACAGCGAAGCCTGACTCGGTTCCACCGTCCCTGCCTCGGCCCCACCCTGACCGTCGCCCCAGACGGTCTCCCTGCAGGAGCTGCAGCAGGACTTTGAGAGCAGCACCCCAACGGATCCCAACAACAACCAGACGCTGGCCAACGGCGCTGGCGTATCCTACATCACCTTCAGCCCCAACACTGCCTCAGCCACGCCGAGTGAACCAGCAGCCTCTGCAGAGCCCCTCAGCGAGCCCAGCAACACCCTGGCCAGAGTCCCACCCTTTGTCACCTTCCACACCCTCATCCTGGACATGAGCGGTGTCAGCTTTGTGGATCTGATGGGCATCAAAGCCCTGGCCAAGGTAAGGAGGGTGTGTCAGTAGTAAGAGCCAAAAGGAGGGTGTGTCCCATCCTGCTGCTCCCGGGAGGCCCCGTCTCAGCCGGCCCCCAACCCCTGATGGACCAGGCAGGCCACTGTGCTGAGCAGGCCAGTGCGGAGAGTCCCCGCGGGGCCATTCCAAGTGCCCTAGCAGGCCACCAGGAAGCCACCCACAGGGCCTCTGCAGGGTCCTGTCCATGATCTGTGCCTAGTCTCATGCACACTGGCCAGCCTGGGAGAGAGGAAGAAATGAGATCAGTTCCCGACGCTCAGGACCCTGAATTCGTGTACTCGTCTGCTGACTTTTCAGTGGGCCACTCAGATGTCAGGGGCTCTGATGAAGGTGCTGTCACCATCACCAGGGGCAGAGGAGGCCCCGTGCCCAGCCTCGAGCCTCTGCCTGCTTCCCCAGCCTGGGCCTGGAGTCCAGGCCTGGGCTCTCTGAGCCTCCACCCCATCCTGCGGCTTCTGCCTGAAGCCACAAGGTTGGGAAAGAGGTAGAGGTGGGAATCGGGCTACTGAAAGAAAGATCTGATCCCATTACGTGGTCCGTGGTGACTTTAAGTGCCCTCCATGTTGGCAAAGACCCATTTCCGTCCCACTTTCCAAAAGCGCCTTCAGCCAGCACTCCAGAGAGAAGCGCTATGTTCAGCTGCTATTTTTGTCTTTGGCGTCCAGGCCTCTCAGGGTTTTGCTTACTTGCTTGGCTTCCTTTCTGAAGTGCATTTTGGGAGTCACTTTTCAGACCACTCAAAACATTCCTTTCCTTTTGCCTCTCACCCTGAACGCCCTCCAACACTGCCAGCTGAGCTCCACCTACGGGAAGATCGGAGTCCAGGTCTTCTTGGTGAACATCCACGGTAAGGAAAGGCCGCCCGAGGGCGGAGAGGCTGGTGAGGGAGGTGCGTGGGACAGGCAGGTGGGGCACTGATAAGAGATGAGAGCCCTCGAAGACTCCCCCAAGCTTCTGCTCAGGCATGAGAACTTCAGATCCAGGTCAAAAGAGCCTGGCCAGACCCAGGTGTGGTGGTGCACACCTGTGATCCCAGCATTCTGGGTAGCTGAGGCAGGAGGATCTACAGTTTGAGCTCAGGCTGGTCAACTTAGCAGCTTGGCAAGACCCTGTCTCAAAATAAACAGTAAAAGGGATGTGACTCAGTGCAGAGACGCCGGATTCAACCCTGAGTGCTGAAAGACGAAGAGAGAGAAAAAGACAGAGCGGGGGATAAAAGCGAAAGCCTAGGGAGCACAGAGCTGCAGGCCACAGAGCAGGGGACAGAGCGGAGGCCAAGGGCAGGGCCGTGGCAGCACACCACGCTCGCGCACCCAGCACTGCGGAGGGCTAGGGCGTCCGGCAGGGCCCCGCAGAGGCCCTGCTTGGAGAGGAAGCCACCTCCCCAGTCCATGTCTCTGGAAACCACTCTCTATGGTGAGCCAGGGGCCAGCCACACACCGGGAGTGGCGGGAAAGATCCAAGTGAACGGGGACGATGGGCCTCGAGAGGGCATGGGCAGGAGCCTCCTCCTTGGGGACGCGTCAGCCTCTCCTTCCGAGCCCGCGGGTACCGACCCCTAAACCAAACCGCTCCTTCAGCCGGGTTGAAAGTTCGGCATCTTCAAGCTTATGTTGCCCTCTGCTGTCCACGGCTGATACTGCAGCGCGAGTGCCGACGTGGGGGCCCTCGGTCTCCTTCGCCCCCAACCCCAGACCTCTCCGTTCCTCCTCCCTGCTCTGGTCTCGCCGCCCAGCTCCAGCCCCGCAGCACCAGTCTGCAGTGGCCTCTTTCTGAACGTGATCTCGCGTCCTTCCAGCCCAGGTGTACAATGACATCAGCCACGGAGGCGTCTTCGATGGGGGGTGTGTACAGCGCGACCACGTCTTCCCCAGCGTGCACGACGCGGTCCTCTTCGCCCAGGGACATGCGGGAGGAGCAGTCCCGGCACACGGCGCCCCGGGGGTAAGTAAGGTCCTGCCCGGCCAACCCTGGGCTCCAGGCCACTGCTGCAGCTGACCCTGAGGCATTGGAGGTTCGGCTCCGACCCCAGTTCTGCCAGCCTACTTTTCTGAATCTCTATGTCCTTATCTGTAGAGTGGGTATCATCAACTATCATTACCTACCTCACAGAGCTTTCTTGGGGTAGGATTAAATGATAATTATATATTTTATGTCACTTGAAATTTATGTGTATATTATTTTTAATCTTTTGTTACTATTAACTTTCGGGTTGAACCAACACACAAAGGCCAGTGTGTTATGCCCTACCACCTGGCATCCACAGCCTCCTGTCCCTTTTCTAAAAGGGCCTAGTCAGATGTGGTGGTGCATGCCTGTAATCCCAGCACTTAGGAGGCTGCGGCAGGAGGGTTTCTGGGAGTTCGAAGCCAGCCTGGCCTATAGAGTGAGTTCAAGGCCAGCCTGAACTGCATACCAATCCCCATTTCAAAAAGCCAAAAATAAATAGACAGATAGACCTTTGGGAAAGGAATGGAATGACCCTGACAGTTTGAGTTCAGCAGGGCTTGGAGATTTCAGGCTGGTGATGGGCGGAGAGGCTGGGCCTGAGCTTTGTCCCCACTTCGGGACCCTTAATTTACTATCTCAGTAAGTGGCATGTGAATGAGGTGTAAAGAACACTGTCTAGGACTCTGGAAAGCCACAGAATCAGAAAAAGCCCACTCAGCCGGGGTCTTTGCCCCAGTCCCAGCTGCCCTCTCCTGCAGGCCCCCTCCCGGTTTGCCCCCTGCCCTTGGCCTCCCGAGCCTCTGTGCCTCCCACCCAGGCCTCACCTGCCCTCTGCAGGTCACCAGAGACTTTTCTGGCCCAAGAGCAAGGATTTGCTCTGCCCTAAGAGAGACTGTAAAGGTGAAGCTGACAGCCTGCCTGGGACAGCTCGGGGCTGCACTGCTTCTGCCTTCCACACTCAGAGGTTGGGCGGGATGAGCTCTCCCTGCACAACCAAATAGGGAGATTCTCCTGATCCCATTATTCTTATCACCCTAATAGCGTCCAGTTGTTACGGTTTCTCTACATCCTCCATCACTTACACGTCTGTAAGTTGTTTTCATTAGATGTATTCGGTATTTACCCGTTCTGGACTACACTCCTAGACATAGAAATCACACATGCGTGCACACACGTGTGCGCACACCCTCCTTTTCGATGGCGCGGTACGGGAGAAAGCACACGCAGAGAAGGAAGGAGCTGCCCACACTCGGCCCTGGTCAGCCACCTTGTAAGCTAAGGGGTGGCTGCAGTGCACACCGGCGTGGTGCTCTGTTTGGTGCTGTATTTGGTGAGGCAGCCAAGGGAGAAGGCAAGAGGGCCAGTTACGTGGTGCGGTGCCCAGCCAGAGCCGCCAGTGTCCTTCCTGCAGCCACGCGGCAGCTGTGTCGTTGTCGCTGGCTCACCTGCACCTGCTTCCCTCCATCCAGGCCCCTGGGGACACCGAGCTCTCCCTGGATGACTCGGACGACGGCCCCGGCTACTGGGACCTAGAGCAGGTGAGCAGGGGACGCGGCTAAGGGGCAAGGACGGGGCCCGTCCGTCCGGGGCCAGCTGGGCTCTCTCACACCTGGCCACAGCAGGCATCTGCAGCAGTGAAGTCCTCGCCTTTCTCTGAACTGCAGATCCCCTTTCTTCCCGGTGCCCAAAGGCAGCCTGGGAAAGGCAGCATCTGGGTGGAATCCTGGAGCCTTAGCCTTTCTTAACCCCGCGGGCGTGGGGGAGCCGCAAAACAGGTGCACTGTTGTTACCATCTGTACGTCAGGGGAATGCGGTCCTCCACAAGACCAACAGGGTAGGGACTCGTGTGTCCTTTCATTAACTCAACAGGTATTTATGGAGTGCCTATCCCTTGCCTGACATGGCTGCACCCACGCCCCTGCCCTTTGGGCCTCTATTCTGGGAGAATCAGGTGGATTCTAGGGGTGTATTATTATTGCAATTCTAGGGTACATTGTTATTTTTGCAAGTGGACAGCACTTAAGAACTAAAGGCTATGAGGATATGAAGGGCTGGTGACTAGTGCCACAAGTCCCATGGAAATTACCACTACCCCAACCTCCTGAATTAAAACAAACCCGGTGACTAGTTTTAGAGAAATCTGGCTTTGAGCCTGTTACACATAACACCTGTCTTTTCCCATTCTTTTTGGGTTTGGGCTCCATGGAACTCTGAATACATCTCAGAGTGCTGATGGCAGGAAGACACGGTTAGAAACAGAGCCAGCACCATGGAGATCCGGCAAAATAACTTCTGTGTCTCCTTGGAATCTCCAACACATTTGCATAAAAAGCCTGGATAGGCCTGAAATACTAGCTAATCAAAGTGAGAAAAAATTCTCAGCTTCTCTAGTCTCAACCCGCATCTTACCTGATAAAGTGGAGCTGAAACACTAGGAAGGACCGGTGATGAATGTCTCACAGAACAGCGGGGTCAGTGCACGAGTGGACTCCAGCACCTTCGCCTATCGTCACACCAGTTCCCAGCTTAGGCCGGCCTGGCCTCTCCTCTGCTCACACACACACACACCCACACCCACACACACGCACACGCCGTGCCTCGTGCGGCTGGGGTCCAGTGTCCCCTCTGGGATCCAATCCCGCTGGCCCCCACAGGTCTAACTTTCCCTTCCTCTCTTGCTTCCTTCCCGTGGCCCCTGCAGGAGATGTTCGGGAGCATGTTTCACACAGAGAACCTGACCGCCCTATGAGGCCTGGCTGGTCCCAGTGCTGCCCGAAGAGCACCTCGCACCGGGAACGTCCGCGGAAGAAATGCCAGGGTGTTAGGGAGTGCTGGGGGAGGAGAGTTGTCCCCCAGGACCTGGCTCCTCTCTCCCCTCCTCCCTCAACAGGAAGACAGGAAGAGCTCGCTCCTGCGGGGTGAGAGTCCGGTGAACTCACCTCCTCACGCCTCCCCTAACCCTCAGCAATGTGCCATCCTCTGGCTCCCTCCATGTCACCCACCCATGCCCCGCCCGTGGCAGCTGATGCATGTTTTGACTTCCAGACTTTGAAAGTGAGCCAATGGCAGGAGGACAAGGACCACTGCACTGGCGTACAAGCTTCGCAAGGGTCCTGGGGCCTGCATGGCTTGGTGGCAGAGGATGTCCTGCTGTGACAGGACATAGGGATAAACTCGGTTAGAGACCACAGCTTGTCCCCTCCATCTGCCAACTCTAGCCTGGCAGCCAGGGACCACGTGATTCCACAACCTAGGAGTTTCCATCTCGGTGCCCGGGTCCCTTCCTCCTCTGAAGGCTGCCAAGATGGCCACTGCCGTCCAGCACTCCAAACTCCAGCCTGGGCACCAGAGCGACCTCCTCGCGGTGGCCCACTGAGGGACTCCCTTGGCCTCCTGAAGCACCACTCACTTCCCCCAAGAGGCTGCTCCCTTCTGCTTGAGGCTGAGTAGGAACCCAAGAAAGGAGGCAGGCAGCTGGCAGACTCTGACAACCTGGCAACAGACACTAGTGATTCTGCACAAAAGCTTTTGGGAAACCCTCTTTGTACCAGAGATTTGGAAGGAGAGGGGGTGCCAGTGCCAACCCAGGCCAAACTGGACGGACTTGGGCTTAACGGTTCTCCTGACCTCAAGGCCCATTGGGAAAATACCTCCCCTCAGGATGTCTGCCTGGTTCTTCCTTGCTTGGCAAAGAGCCAGTCGTTTTAACTCTCTTTTATCAACCTGGATACTGGAGTTACAATGGGGTCCTTCTGCCAGGTGAGAGAGGGGTCTCACAGGGTCAGCTGCCCCCCTCAGAGGTGGAAGTGGGCAGGTCCAGATGGGTCTTTCTCCACAGGGTGTCCTTAACAACCCCAGGACCTGAGGCCATCTTCCTCTAGGAAAGGTGAAAGTAGGGGTTCAATTCTCCCCATATATGGGGAGGTACATCTAGAGGAATCCCTTTAGAGATAGATAGAGGAACCCTACTGTTGACTTGAAAATAAATAGGTTCCATGTGCAAGTGTTTTGCACAGAAAACCTCCTGGCTTCTCCTCACTGTTTCTCCCAAGTTCCCTGTCCCAACAGGTTGGGCTGGCCCAGCCTGGGCAAACGTCCCAGTCCCTAACTTCAGCCTGACCTGCATTGTATGTCTGTGTGTTGAGCGAGCTGATCGGCCAGCAAGTCTTCGGAGAGTTAAAGGAGAGGGTGCTGGCACAGCTCCTGCACATTCTTGGCCCAGAGGCACTGCTTCTCAGTGAATTCATTATGCCATCTGGCTGCCAATGGAACTCAAAACTTGGACGATGGAAGACGATGTTATCTGGGATTCACCGTGCCCAGCACTCGAAGTGCCAAATTCCAGGAGGACAAGAACCTTAGCCAATGACAACCCACCCTCCCCTACTCCACCTCCTTCAAGATCCAGTTCGGGCCTGGGAGGTGGAGGAAGGTCAGAGCCTCAGGACCACCCAGGGCAGAGCACCCCTTTGAACCAAGCATCTAGATCCCATGGGGACTGGGTGAAGTGAACATTAACACCAGGCCAGCCCCAGAACTGAAGGGATCACTGACTCACAGTGGCCCAGAGCCGAGGCTCCAGAAACAATCTGTGACGTGTCAGGGCAATGATCATTCCCAGTACTCCCACACAAGGGAAGACATTGAAGCAACTTCACTGTCGAGATATTTTGCAAAGAACGCAAATGTCACACAAACCACTTTTCCAGACGTGACGGAAGTAGGGAGGGAGGGGGCAAGGTGGCAAAATAATCCAGAATTTCAATACTTTTGAATGTTCTTACTGATACTGACCTATGATGATAGGATTCCCAGGGTGGCCTGGGAACCTTGTCTCTTGAGATATTTGTATAATTTATTTAATTTAAATGTCTTTCTCTTTTCATTCATTTTGGTAATAAAGTGGCTTTTGAAGTGTGAACGAGTGCACATTTTGGTAGTTTAACAGGGAGGCAAGCAAGCCACCTCCAGGGAACGTCTGGCTGGGCTTTGCACCATCCTGAGAAAAAACAAGGAGCTGAGATTTCCTTGTGGGTCTCCTAGCACCTCTCCAGTTTCTGGTTTTCCACTCTTCTGGATAAATCATTTTTCATGACCTAGCTAAAGTGGGGAGATCGGGGCCAGAAGAGTGGACTAAGGAATCTGCATACTCAGAACCAGCTCTGAGAGCCAACTCTGCGCTTTGGACCATGAAGAACCAGAGGTGTCATCAAAATCAACAGTACATGTTGATGTGTGTAACAGCAAAGACACATCGCCTCTAATCTCCCTCAGAATATTTCCCCTTGTTTGAAACACTCATCCCATCACTGTGGCCACTTTCTGAAGCAGCTCTGGAGGTCCCCTTTCATGAGTGTCTTTGTGATTAAAGACAGAGACAGAGAGAGAATGCTACTGAGTGCCGTTCAGTGGAAAGGAAGCTTGTAAAAAACATGACAGCGAGTCCTCACCCACCTTACTCACCAGTGTGGCACCATGCAACTTCTGGTTCCTGCTCAAAGTCAAAATGACCTTGGAAAATAAATAATTTGGATTGATTTAAGACATTGAGGCAGCCGTGACAGCACAACTAAGGACACCCAGGAAAGAGGACTCCAGACCTGCTCCAGAAAGTGGTCAGAGGGTGTGAGATGATCTGGCCGTGACACCCCAGCCAGAGGGGTGGCTCTGTCACCCCACTGATCACCAGGGTTGATGTGGCTGCTCTCACGGCTCCATGTGAGTCCCTCCCAGAGCTGCACGCTCGGTCAAAGACAGCACCCCCGAGAGAGGAGGACCGTGTCCTTGGTCAAGGGCATACGGACAGCTGCACTTCCCTGCTACAACCTCCAAACGAGCTCTCCAGAAAGTGACCAGCATGATGGGATAAGGGAATTCAAAGCAAGGGGCAGTTATTTTAATGGGCGTTCATGGCAATGTGTCTTTTACTATATTACATTTTTTCATTTAAACATGAATTGTATTTTTCAATCACACCTCACAGTAAGGAAGTCAATGTTTATGATGGGTCTGTCATGGTTTCCATCTACAATGTCCCCCAAAGTCTCATGTATTCAGGGTGAGGCTTTTGGAAGGTGATTTTTCAAGGGGGTGCTGTGCTCATCGGTGAATTAATCCACTGATGGCTTCATAGCTAAATGTGCTGTTGGAAGTTGGGGCCTGGTCAGAAGAGATGGGTCACTAGGGGCATAATCTAAAAGGGTGCATTCTTGTTCCGAGCTCCTCCCTTCTCTCTCTGGTTCTGGCCGCCATGGGTTGAGCAGCTGTCCTCTGCCATCCCCTTATACTAAGCCACTTCAGCCTTGGAGTCAACCAACCACAGGCTGAACCCTTTGAAACCATGTCCTCCTTTCAGACGTGGGTCTCAGGTATTTTGTCCCCGTGCTAGGAAAGTGACTCACACAGGGTCGACACCATCAATACTCAGAAAAGAGTCTAGAATTCTCAGTCTGGGGGAGCACATGATCTAATCCCACCTCTCCCTCCCCCGTTTGTGAGTGATCTCAAGGAGAGTGAGGCCATAGGACTCAAGAGTCCGGCAAGTCGGACTGACTCCTAGCTTGCTTGCAGTAAAAAGGGGAAGGAGACAAGAAGAATCAGAAAAAGAAAGCACAAACGTGTAAGGGATGAAGTGGAAAGGAATGAGGTGGAAAGAGATGCCCAGAAAAAAGACAAAGCAAAGAGGAAAGACAGATGAGCAGTCAGCAGAATGGGCAGGTGGGGATGGGGAGATGAAGGGAACTAGAAAAAAGAAAAATGGGGCAGGAGAAGGAAGGTATTTCGCACAGGCAGAAAAGACAGTGAGCTCCAAAACGACACGCAGTTATGAACTGATGTCGCTTATCCAGCTGTTCATCTGGACTGTGGGATTGGGGTTGATTCGAAGTTAACATCCTTCACATTTGAGTTTTGGATGTTTTTTTACCGATGCTCTCTTAGCCTGAATCCTTCTGGAAGCAGAGTCTGTGCACAGGTTATTTAGACGTGATCTAACAGAGCAGGAGCGACAAGCCAGCACGAGGATGAGACACGGACCTGCTGTGGATCACACTGACCAGCTATGCTGGAGCAACGTTTAGCCTCTGCCCCCATCTTCCATCAGTCAGGGGCTGGGTTTTACCTCTCCAACAGTGACAGGTGGCAAGGGCACGAGGGCAGACAAGTCCCCATGGTGTTCATGAGGCAGCAGGCAAGCCCCCGGGAGGGAGGACGAGGCACCACATGGCTTCAGGGAGGGGCTGGCAGGTAGGGCTGCTCTGAACTCCAACCCCTGCCAGGGGCTCGGTAGGGAGTGCACTTAAGGGAGGTCAAAATCAAATGCATTTTACATTTCTCATCTTTTTAAGACCCATTTTTGCCTAGATGGTATAGTGACAATATGGTCTTCCATATCGCCACCCAAAACTGGAACGGGATATATTGGAGTCCGTGAATCTCCGAGCATGTTCAAGAGGAGGTGAACAACACGCTCTCCACGGGTGCTGTCAAAGGAGCCCTGCTCTAGACAGCAGATCATACAGTGACTCGAAGGCTTCCTGGCCCACAGATCCTAAAGCACATAACATTTTTTTAAAAAAGGTAAGCCGGCTAGAGAGGAACACTCCTATGATCACAGCACTTTGGGAGGCTGAGGCAGGAGGATAGCGAATTTAAACCCAATTTAATGAGATCCACTTAAAATGGCAAGGGATATAGCTCAGTGCAGAGGCCTGGACTTCAATCGCCAGGACTGCATATAACTTAATTAATTGATTTAAAATGAAGCAAGACATTTAAAAAAAAACTTCTGACTTGAAAATAAGTCAAACTAAGAAAAGGTTACAAAACTAAAAATAGGTTATCATGCTTTTATCTTTTTCTCTTTACTTGGCCCAAGCTCCCTCTGTAAAGTCAGCTTCGCTCCCACTCTTCACTTTTACTTTCTCAAATGAACTTTGCCTTGCCAGGGATTTACCTCAGTGGTTCTGCCGCTTGCTTCACCAGCGCAAGGACCTGAGTTGATCCCCGGTACCAAAACAAATGTATTTCATATATATATATA